TCATAAATCACAAATTTTACATATCACAAATTATTTTACGGTCACGATTCAAAAATTTTATAGGTCACAATTTGTTCATCGGTCACAAATAAAAAATTGAAACTATACAAATTATTTTACAGTCACAATTCAAAAAATTTATATGTCACAATTTATTTATCGGTCTCAAATCAAAAATTTTATAAAGCACAATTTGTTCACCGGTCACAAATAAAAAAAATTATACGTTACAACTTATTCATCGGTCACAAATCACAAACTTTATAAATCACAACTTAGTAGACAGTCACAAATTAATAATTTTTTAGGCCACGCATTATTTCTTGGTCACAATTTATATTTTTCATTGGTCACATTTTTTATCAGTAAAAAATTAATGAATTTAATGATCACAAACGATCAAATAATCTGTTACCACAACCAACACTTGTGACCACCACCTCACCACTCACATCAGCACCACCACCGTCGACGCGAGAACCACCACCACCGCCACCATCTCTCGACAATAACACCATCCCAAACAAATCAACACATCATCCACCACACAACAATCGATCATCACCACTGTACAACGCTGAGTTACCACCACACCACCGCACATAGCACACTGCACCTACAGTACATATAATTAAACCATCGCACACAGCACTGCACCAAACCACAACACCGTAAATGGCATTGCATCCACAGCACACATCACCATCACCATACCCACAACACCACAATCGCCGCCAAAGATCTACAGCTCCGACCTCAAATCAACAGCGCAATAGACCAATTAACCTTAGCCTCTCTATCCACAAAGTTCCCTACCTGCCAACTCAAACCTATGATCAACAACATCAATTCTTACAGCCAATTGAAACATTCAACATCTTGATCAGCCGATCGAAACATCCAACATTAGTGTTTAAAATTGGGATCCTGTCGATTGTAGCCACAGCAACATCATCGCGACGTTTAGAAACCACCACCAACATTGGTGTTGTCGAGCACCCTCACTAGATCCAACCACCACCATCCACATCACCAAAACCACCGTTGTAAGAACAACCACCACTACCACACACCACCACCGCCTCGTTCGATCTAATTAACGAAGCCATCACTGCCATTGCGAACACCAACACTAGATTGGGAACTGCGAACTCCTGATCGCCACTGTGTGCAGCGAACTCAAGTGAGAAGGAAGAAGAGAAGAAAGTGACGGAAAGGGAGAAGAGAGAGTGACAGAGACGGAGAGAGAGGGGAGATTTTGCAAAATGACCTATGAATAGTGGCTTTTTAAGATTTTTGTTAAAAAGTCAGTTTTACCCTTAATGAAATGGGTCATTTATTGCAGATCAAGTCCTCAATCCTTATAATTTTTTCG